TATCAAACCATAGAGGATTAATCCATGTTCATGTATGAAATGTTGGGCCAATTTTATAATGATGATTTTTGTTGTTTGTATTTTAAAAACTGATGATCTGATCTGTTGTAAGTCACTGGATGTTATTCTGTCACTAAATAGGTCAGAATGAAATGTCAAAAAATTTTAACTTGTGTAAACAGTGGTATCTATATTATGTTTATAACATCAAAGTTTTGACCTTTGTAAACAATAGCATGTACAGTGGCAGCCTTAGGTCATCTGGGGACCTAGGCAAAAGCCCATTGCATGGTCCCCTATAGGAAATAAACATGCATGTAAACACATAATTAAAGAGTAACATTTATTTTACAAAAAAAAAAAATACCATATATTACATCTGAAAGTAGTATAGGTATTCCAGAGGATGAATGAACAGATTATCATTGATAAATGATCAGATGGTGAATATAATGCATATAATGTACCTATCTAAAATTCAATTACCATATCATGAGCAACTTGAGAGTTTTTCTCAATGGTAAATGTGGCTTTTCAATTTAAAAGTTCACCTTCCTACTCTTTCTGTTGCTAAATTCAGTAATAAGTTCCTGGAAGTTAACAGATAACATAGTGTCTTGTTCAGTGGAGAGGATAGCCAGTGCACTAAGTATCTTTTGTGTCATAGTAGAGAGTAGGTGTGTCTTCACTAGTTTTAATCAGGATAAGCTACATTCTGCAGCTGCAATGCTTATTGGTATGGTTAAAACAAAGCGAAGATCTATGTTTGTGTTTGGGTAGATGTCAGACATTTCATTCTTAACTAAATAGACCAGGGCAGTGGCAGCATTAGCATTGTCAGGAATAACTCTGCTCAGAAATTCTAACTCTTCACACAGTTAAACATCATCAATATCCTAGGAGTCTTTGTCAGTCAACAATAGCTGAAGGTCATTAACAGTGTTTCATAAGTTCAGATTGAGCCATATGATGTAATGGTGAAATGTTGTTGAGGAAACCAAAGTGCTGGGCATGTTTTTAAAGCCCTTCAAGGTGTTTTGTCACAGAATTATTAATCTTTTCAATCACTGTGAGAAAATAGTTTATTTTAAAATCATCTTTGGCCCAAAAATAGGTGAATATTTTCCTCTTCCTTTGGTGTCATTTCTCTTTGAAGTGTGGGGGGAATATCCAATTCCTCTGCTAAGTTCTTTGCACTCGTAAGCACTGATTCAAACCCAGTTGTTCTGTACACAGCAAGTCAAGAGTTGGATTCTCTCATGTGTTGCACACTTGTAGATGAATGCATATTAGTTGATTTCCTCTTTGTAATTCTGTTTGTCTTTCTAAGTTATTTATGAGAGAAAAGCTCTTATAAAAATTTATAAATATAGATAGATTTATACTGTTACAAGATTTAAGCTATTTGGAATAAACATTTGTGGTTTCCTGTTACAATTTGCAGTTATTTTAAAACAAAAGAAAGGTAATTTAGATTTATTTCCTAATTTTTATGATGGTTACGGGGGTCAATCAAATCAACCATTGCCATATAGAGTTAGCATTAATAAAATGAAAGATTAAATTTAAAGTTTTATTCAAAAACATTTGATGATTACCAAGAAGGATATAAAGATTACACAATAGAAACTTGATAATATTCAGATAAAGAAATGTATTTTTAATTTTAAAATCAAAATTACTTTACACATTGGATAATCAACATTCTGAAAGAAGAAATTCACGAGCAAATCTTTAATAAGAATCTGATATTTTGTGTATGAAAGCCTTGTAATGTTTACTAATAATCTGCCAAATTTTATAAAAATACACAAACATTATCAAAAATTATAGTTTAATTACTCTCGTGGATTCTTTCATGGTTTTGAGCCGGGTGAATCCCACCCAGCCCATATTCGTAGAGTTAACATAACCCTGGCCATGAATATCAGAAAGCTGTAAGCCAAGGACTTCCAGTTCAGTTATTACAGCCTCAGTGAGATCCTCTCTTTCAGTCTTTTGAAGAGGCAGAAACCCTAACAAATGCTCTTCCACTTGTCCTTTCTGTGACATGTAATGTTTTATCATCATCATCTGCTCTACACGACTTATGTCACATGTACAGTCCAGAATAATTGGGTAATATTTGGTGTGCTTCACTTGTTCCACAATCTCTTGTTCAACCCTTTCAGCCATAAGCTGAATGAGTTAATTGCTTCTGAGTTTATTTCCCAAATAATGATCTCAGATCTCATGTGAAGAGAAGTGCCTAATGTGCTCCTGCATAACAAGATCAAGCTTTTCCAGAAGCTCCACTAGTCCAAGAAAGTTACCATTGTTTGTAGTGTATACTTTTACACTGTGACCACAGAAAGCCATGTTATGGGATACCAAGTACCGAGTTTTTTTCAGGACGTTATGCCAATGCAGCCTTTCTTGCTGGAGCTGGTTTTGGGATAGCCTGTTAACTGTGTTTACACTTTTTAATAGCTTGACATTTTGAGCCATCTTCTGATTTCAACTTTGTGATCTTTACCAGCTTCATGTTTACGCAGAGACACACTATGGTTTTTCCAATCTGACAAACCTTGATTCACAATGGATATGTTTGATACTGATGATGAGAACAGATTAGATGCAAAGCAAATGACAAAATCCTTGCTTTTAGTGCAAACAAGCAATACCAGTCATATCTTCCTCCATTACACAACAGTTAGTGTAGTGAAATTAACTGAAATGGCAGTTCTTGTCATCTTTTGGAAACTCGTTATCATTCATTTGGACACGAACTAGACCTTTTTCATTTATATAAATAAAATGGCTATGGTTTAATGCCATTTTCCATTCCCCAGGATCATCCCAATTGATGGATTGTACTGACGACTCTGCTATCGTTTCATTTTGGGTTGGAGGAGATGGAAATGATGACTCAGGCATGCAAGATTCTGTGTCACTGTGAAGCATGTTAGCATATTAAAGTTTACCTGGAGAGTCTTCACAACTCGTTTCACTTTCCAAGGCCCTTCCATCTGTCCTGCTGGAGTGAGGTCCATACTCTTGGCCTGAACCTTCACTTTCTTTTCTAGATGAAATATCATCTGTCTGCTAGAAGAATTTAGACAGTGAACCAGACAGCTTTTGTAGTGCCTGTTCAATGGCAAACTTTTTTTCCTTTTTTCAGCACCTGACATATACTTTCTTTTATTACCTGACTCATCTATCCTTGAATCTGCTATCATTCACCCATCTTAATTCTGTATTATTAATAATTCCTTTTCTGTTGTGATAATGTTGGATGGGGCACCTAATTGCTTGGGGCCCTAGGTTGTCACCTAATTTGCCTACCCCCTAAAGCTGTCACTGGGTATGTATATTACATTTACATCATAATTTTATCTTTTGTAAACTATGTTAAGTTACATTCACATCGTAATTTTAACCCTTGTAAACAATGGCATGTTACATTCACATCATAATCTTATCCTTTGTAAATAGTATAGCATACGTGTTAAATCTTAAATATTTTGAACCATGGTGTCTGTCTGCATTTGTTTGTCTCCTGCTTACAGCAGCTGCTTCCCACACTGCATTTGAAAGCTGTGCATGCAGGCAAAGCTCAACATTCACCTTTGAAATGACAGGAGAACAGGCATGAATCATGTTGATGTCAAATTTTATTTCACAAACAGGGTATTCTATACTAAATTGTTAGTAATTAACCATGCTATCATTCACATTTCAAAATGGGGCGTAACTGTAACAGGCAGTGCCCTCATGGGCTTAATTGTTGGAGTTTCAATTATACTGCCAGTCACATCAAATTTATTTAGTGGAGAATTTGCAGTGGCGAGTGGAGCTCACAATTCGCTAACTCAAGATTATGGTTAGAATAAAAAATCAGAGTCCCAGACCAACATTGATCAATTTATTATAACATTTATTAATCATTTCCAAATAACATTCAATATAAATCAGAAGTCCATTAATCGTTATACACATTTCAAATACCGTTAATCTAGACTATCCATTAATACAAATAGATACATTTCTCTTGAATATTCCTTTAAGATTATTTACACTAACTGATTAAGAGAGAAACCATAAATCTATACTTACAACAGAGCTGGATTTGTAAACTTGCAGAGGTTTGAGACTTTCATAGCCATGGTCACGAACTTCAAGAAATCAAAGGAGAACTGGAGAACTTCTCAGGAGAGCTTAATTTCTCTGATTTTTTGGTTTCTGACAGAGGTTTTTAAACCATAATTTCTTAGTATTCTCTCGACCTTCCAAATAGTATCCAGACCTACCCGCAAGCAGTCCTGCCACCTTATTGGTCGATCTGTGGGAATTCCCGAGCTAACCCAGAACCAGAACCAAAACTCTCAAGTAATTGGTTACCGTTGTGTTGAGTTAGCCAGTTGCCTATCTACTTGTACTAATACACCAGTGTCTTGTAAGAGATATTGCATCAAAGTACTGCTTTTGGTTGTTAACTATGACTTTTTTGTAGCTTTTCTAGTACTAATGAGTTAGCGTCAGTAATCCATCAACCTGTCACGGGTGCTCGTGCACTTACTTCATTGCTAGGCAATATCTTTACGTAACTTTCTGTGCCACTAATCTAGCTAGCTGAACTTTCTAGTTCTCAGCCTCATTTCGCAATACAGGCATTTCCACTTAAGCCCTTTTGAAATGTACATGTTCATTTAAACTCGAAAAATTGTTATTACTTTATTCTTAATACTCTTTCGACTAAAAAATATCCTGGAGCAATTGCAAAATTTCCTCAAAATATTCAATTGCTTCATAACTTAAAGAATAAAAATGTAGATTTACCTTATGGTATTGTTGAGTTGCACTAAAATGCTCAACAATTACTTTTCACGGTGGGCAGTCTAAATAGCTTAGGGCTTTGACTCTGAGTGAAATCAAGAGTGCAACACAATTAACCTCTTCAAAGTCCATGAAATATTCTAAATTTATAGATTAATTTATTTTCCCATCACCAGGGATGGGTACATTTGCTTGTTTACATCATAATTTTAACCTTTGTAAACAATGGACTGTGTGATACATTTACATCATAATTTCTATTCTTTTCTCAGATGTAGTATTCACCAGTTTGACTTTTCTTTCAAAAGCAGAAAATATCATAGACTCAAACTGACAACATATATATATATATGTATGTACAATGCTATGCAATGTATTAATTGTTCATAGGTAATAATCTATAATAACATTTGATGAAACTCAAAAAAGAATGTGCTGAATATATCGCATACCTAAAGAAATAAAAAATTATAAATGAAAAGTAGGTCACATTAAAGCTATCACCAAATGATGTTGTGACTATAAGTGGTGTGGTAATCACGTTTTGATAGATGACAAATGCATTTGTTGATATTCTGATTATAAATATGAAAAATGTACATGAGACTCCTAAAGTTTGGAGTGTGTTAGCAGAAAATTTACAAAGAGTGCTAAACATTCAGGGTTCGATTCTCTGTGGTGGACAGAGTGCAGATGGTCCATTATGTAGCTTTGTAGTGAAAAAAATAACAAATTCAAAATATTACATATTTAATTTATATATGAAGAAACATTATTATTCATATATATATATCTTTAAAATATCAGATTGAAAGATCTAAAGGTACAATTGCAATCGTGCTGTAAATTTACATTTCTGTCACGTATGTTGATTGCACTCAACAAATTACATTACGTGCACTTCTTCACATGAATTTTTATTAATGGTAATATTTGTGTTGATGTATGGCAACAAATTTATATTTTTATTAATTTACGGTGATTTTTATGTGGATATAGAAATGTGGCTTTTACTATTAGATATGTAAATCATGAACTCTTGTTTAGAAATTAAAGAAAACTGGAATACTGATAATACACCAGTAAAAGTTATGAAAACTTGTGAAAAGCTTGAATATATTGAAACGTCTAATTTGATCTATTACTTAATGATATTACATGGGCTAAAACTAGCTAATCAACTTTTGATCTCTTGTTTTTTTTCAAGGATATTATTTATATACATAGTATAGTATTTTTTAAAGTAGTAGTTAATAACTTGTTTCTTTGATGCTTAATGTTAAGGTATTGGTTAATAATTTACTATTGTTATTTTCCTTAGGCCAAGAGGACCTTTGAAGTGGTTAGATCCTGGAGCATTTGGAACACTTGGAGTTGGAGCTGGCTTTGCCTTGGGTGCAAAATTGTGTTTTCCAGATAATGAAGTAGTCATTATTTATGGAGATGGTTCTTTTGGCTACAGTATTGCGGAATTTGACACTTTCAAACGCCATAAGGTAAGCCACATATTATACTAAAGTAGGATTATATTGTTGTAACTATAAAACAGTGCATAATAGTAGGTAAAATTACCTAAATTAAAATGTTTCCCCAATCCTTTTTATAAAAGTACTACAAATTGATATAACAGCCTATTTATTAAAGATCTGAAAATGTTGCTTTGAAATACAAGTTTCTGTTCAGTTCTTTTATTTTCAGATACATGGATGTTTTTTTAATAAATTGCTTATAATTTTCAGTGCTATAAATTTTGTTAATCGTGTTTATAAGGCTCCTCATTTTCATAGTTTGTCTGCTACTTTGTAAAGTAAACTTCTGGAAAAAATTTTCATTCTTGCTGAAAGTGCTACTCTGATAGCAGTATAAATTATTTTTATGTAAAGAATTTCATGCTAGTGTTAGATCCTCTGGTGATTACAGAAGGAAACCAAGAGCATGCATTACCATTGAAGTTAAATATATCTTTATATTAAAACTGTGCACATGGAGTAAAGCAGGTTTGTGTATGAATCTGAGAACAGTAATACTGAATATGGAATGGTGAAAAAAAGTAAAGTACTGTTATTTATCTTTATTTTTAAGTTTTTCTTTTAAGAAAAACCATTATCCTATCATAGTTTCAAGTGAAAGTAAAATAAGATTTCTGATATGATACGAAACCTTCCTACATGCAAACCTTTTTTTCTCACCACTAGCCTTGAGGCTCTCACCTAATCTCGTGTTTTCATGTGATATTGCTGCATTGTTGCTTGCAAATGAGCACGTGACAATCCTCTGCTAATATGAGTGTGACACTGCCTCCTAATGCAGTGGCTCCCTCTATACCATTTGTTAAATCATCTATATTTCATAATTTGGCACTCGTATGTTAAGACATGTCTTTTTTGCACTCACATGAGATTTCTCAATATCAACGTTTGATTGAAGTATCTACAAAACCAACTGTTCTGGAAATATCTTTCAGCTTTATTTTCAAACAGACTTTGTGGTTCTTATCTTCCACAACATGAATTACACAGATACACTGATTTCCACACTGCCTCATGTTGAACATTTGAACTTTATTCACTCTATACAAGCTACCACAATGCTGTCAGATGCATCTTTGTTTGTAAGGGATGTAACAGCTATTGTGTTGTGAGTGGTGAAGTCTTGCATTTTTTCAAGACTTGACACATATTTCTCTCCTCCTATAATTCCTATCCATAAAGACCTGGATTTTGGGCAGTCTTTTCCTGCCACGTAAATTTGTAAAAAATTCTTATAGTGCAGATGTGGATCTATCTCAACATTCTGTGTACTTCTGTGGTTTTTCTTCTCAGGTATGATTCACTTCGCTCTTTCTTCGGAATATTGTTTTTCCTCCTTCCCCTGATATCTGAGTCCATGCTGAAAAATTTTATATCTCAACTTAATTCTTGTTGCACAATGCCTACTCCTTTTTCATTAATTGCACATATGTCTTGCCTTATAATTGAGCCAAAGCCCTTTTCTTGTACTTTCAAACTCTGGAGTATCTCCTTTCAGACAGGAAAGGAGCTCCATTGTGACCTTCAAAGTACACATGGAGTTTTTATAATGATTGAAACATTCAATATTTACCTCATGAGCCTTGAAAAGACTGATTTCCATGTGTTCTGGGACTGCTATTTGACAACTTTGAAGCCATTTGGGACAAATTTAGCCTTGTGAATAATAACATTCAACCACATCTCACTCTGAATGTGGAAGAGTTCTTTCATGGGTAGGATGTTGTTCAAATGATGTAATGACCCACTCAGTTTTCAGATGTGAATCCAGTTGTGCATACAATGATCTCCTTCAACATGCTGGCTGTTTCAGCTTTCCTTTCCAGCCGGGCCCGGCATGGCCAGGTGGTTAGGGCGCTCGACTCGCAATCCGAGGGTCGCGGGTTC